CCAGACGCCCCTAAAGATTTTATTTTTAGGATTCTCTACACCCAAAGTGGGGCTCAAACTCACAATTCTGAGATCAAGGGCTGCATGCTCTACTGACTGAGCCAGCCAGGCGCCCTAGAAGGGACATTTCTTAAGAAAGCAAAGACTCTCGTTTTGGACAGCAGTAGGAAATAATCTTGAACTTCAAGGTGGGCAGAGAGTTCGGTTCCTTTGATCACACAAACTTTTCTTCCATTCCTAGGCAACATGCCAAAGACCCAGATTTATAACTTTATACATATTGTTGACTTCTCTTAAATATCCCCATTCGGTAAAGGCTTTTTCACAGTCTCAGCACCACTAACGTTTCAGGTCAGATACACTGTCAGAGTCAGAGCTGCCCTGAACATTACAGGATGTAGAACAGCATTCTTGGCTTCAATATACAAGATGTCAGTAGCACAATACCCCCCTCCCCATTGCGACAACCAGAAATGTCTTCAGACATTACCAAATATCCTGGGGGCAGGGGAGGGAGGGCAAAATTGTGCCTGGTTGAGTAAACACTTTAAGCTGATTAGTGTGTATATCCCTCCAGAAATGTAGATATACAGGTCAATAAAAGCCAAAATGTTATTTTCAATAGTTAAAACCAGCTAAATCTCGGGTGCCTGGGTGGTTCAGTCAGCTAAGCGTCTGATTCTTGATCTTGGCTCAGGTCATGATCTCCTGGTTTGTGGGATGGAGCCCACGTCTGGCTCTATGCTGACAGTCAACCTGGGGCCTGCTTAGGATTCTCTCTCTCCCTCTCTCTCTGACCCTCTCCTGCTCGCACTTGCTCTCTCTCTAAAAACAAATAAATAAACTTAAAAAAAAAAACTAGCTAAATCTGCACCATTGGCCTTATAAAGTATCTTGTTAATATAACACCTATCAAACTAAGATGTGTTTAAAGGCTGATTAAAACCAGAAACTAGAGACAGCATTTCCAAAAAAAAAAGACAGCATTTCCAAAATTTAACATTTCTTCCTAAAGTCTCTGCTGGAGCATATTCAGCTTATTTCCAGCTCCAACCAAAACAATTTGAGAAACAAAGCAGATTTCAATTTCTTTCCACTGTGTTTCACATAAAGCCTTGGGTGACAGTTTGGATTGTGTTGTGACACATTAGACAAGCCCATTAGAATAATGAAATCCTGCATTAGTGTGGTACTTTTTGGTTTATGAAGCACTTTCCCATACCTTTCCTATTTTCATTCTGATAATAATCTTATAAGATTTTCAGGGGAAGGTTAATATTCCCACTCTAGAGGTGAGGAAACAGAGGCTTAGAAAGCTAATATGGTGGCCCAAAGTCATTCCGTCCTTGGCAGGCCAACAACCAAGGGTCCAAGGACCCTCACTCTTAATTCAAACTCATTTTATACTAATGTAAAATCTTCACTCTTTGAAATTTTAAAATATAGTCCTTAAAAAGTGTTTATTACTTCACTTAGAAATTAATTCTCTGGCTTATTCACTCAGAACTACATAACATGTTGAAATTATAAACAAATTTAAAACGATCTTGTTTTTGTCAGAAAAAGCTGGGTGACTCATTCAGTGAGCTCCAACACTCACTGTATCCAATACTAAATACAACGATGCCATTTTGCACAGTCATTTTACTAATTATAACCATATTTAAACCAATGAAGTGTACTTTTCCAAAAACTGGGTATGCACTGTTTTGCTATCTTAATTCTCAACCATCAGATCTCTTTTTTGAAAAAGTTTATAACCAATGCTTTTTTGAAATCTAGCAACCATAGAACTTAAAAAAAAAAAAAACTATTTGGATAAAAGTCTTCTTACTTGCCTGGAAAAAATCTTTCTTTCTTTCTTTTTAGATGGATTGTTTATATAAAGAGATAATTAAATGAAAAAAAAAAAAACCTTCTCACCCTACAGATGCTATAGATATATGAACTCTATCCTGCCATTCCCAGAATCAGAGAATTTAGAAGCTCCAGAAAAGAAACTATATCAAAGACAAAACAAAACACTGAGGAAATACTACCTGGGTCTTCAAATTTGGAAAAACCTACAGGAAGTAGTTCAGTGTTGCTTTGGAATAAGGAATTTAAACATGAGTCATAATGCAGACCATTTTAATTGGCTGTTAATTGTACTTTACCCTCTAATAAAGAGTGGCTATCTACTGTACTATGCTATTCTAGGCCCACCTAACAATTAGTCCAGTAGTCAGGGTTCCTGGGAGCACTTCTGAAATTTCTGCTCACAAAGGGCCTTGACCTTTATATGAGCTGAAAGAGAAGTGGATCATGAATGTATTTCCTCAGAACCCCAAGGCACTGCCCACACTCCTCTCTGAAGAATACAGGAGGCAGTTGCCGAAACATGGAACAGGGCTTGAGGAAAATCCACTTTCCAAGGCCAAATTCGGTGATGCTGAGTTGGAATAAAGGAAACTGGTCCTTTACTAGGATTTCCTTCTTATCATAGTTCCTCAGCATCAAGGAAGGTAAAGTTACCTTGCGCCTCTCAGTTACTGATTTTTCCCCCTATGGAAAAGCTGAACATCAATCAAGAGAGAACACATGATACTTAGTCAGCAGCAAATTGGAAGTTTATAACAAGCACTGTTCTGGCAGGCTTACCACTCAGAATTTAATGAGAAGAACCAATTCAGGAACTAGATACCAAATGCTAACTCAGCTGTCCTCAGGAGGAGGCTGTTTCCCAAACTATCACAGGAAAGAGAGGCTATGGCTTAGATAAGTTACCATGAGTCTCGGATACATTAACTTTATAAGCCAATCTTATTTAAGGTCAACATGAGATGCTCAAGTTATAACATATGAATATAAGTCTCTGTTGCAGTGAAGATTTAGAGTCTAGGGGCACCTGGCTGGCTCAGCCGGTTAAGCATCTGACTTCAGCTCAGGTCATGATCTCATAGTTCCTGAGTTCGGGCCCCACATCAGGCTCTGAGCTGACAGCACAGAGCCTGCTTGAGATTCCCTACCTCTCTCTCTGCCCCCTCCCTGACTCATGCCTCCCCCCCCCCCGGCCCGACCCATCTCTAAATAAATAAACAAACTTAAAAAAAAAAAAAAAGATTTAGAGTCTGCCTGATGAGATGCTAAGCAAATAAGTACCTAAGTTATAGGAGAGACCAATACTGGCCTTTTGACATCACTAGCAATAAGTAAAAAGTCTTTATATTAAAGCACCTCTTGGGGCTCAGGTCATGATCTCATGGTTCCGGATTTCATGGTTCATGAGTTAGAGCCCCATGTTGGGCTTTGTGCCAACAGCTCAGAGCCTGAAGCCTGCTTCAGATTCGGTGTCTCCCTCTCTCTGTCCTTCCCCTACTTGCTCTCTCTCTCTCAAAAGTAAAACATTAAAAAAATAAATAAGTAAAGCACTTATGTATACTTGTAGCATAGTGAAATATTGATTAAAGACCTCTGAACAGAGTGAGACTTGCCTATTCCATTGAAAAAAAAGCTAGCTTTGGGGGTCAGTCTATCAGGCAGACTGCCCCCTCTTCTGCTACTTAAGTAACGTGGTGAGGCATTCGTCTAACACTTTTAAGCTCAAAACATTCAAAAACCATCATCAAATTTTTCCCCAGAACATGCTGATTCTAAGTGTAACCCCCAAACATTATGAATTTAGGAAGCAGTTCCAATCTTCCAAAGAACACAGATGAACTTTTTCCATTCCTTTCCCAGAATCCGAGAAACAGATTGGGTCACTGCGGTTCACCTGTCCTTACTGTCCAGAGACCCAACTCCCAGGAGTCACTTTACAAACATTCCACAGTATCTGGACTAGCAATCACTAACTTGAAGGGGGGGGGGGGGTCTCACCTTACGTGTCCCCTATGTGACTCTCTGGCATTAAGGTCCTACTCCTCAGAATGGACACATTTTAGTGTTTTTATGTAAGGAACTGATAAATCAGAATACATCTTCATACATGTCTTAAGAGCTGCCCCCAGCTGGAGCTCTGCACATTTGGGCTACGATTCTGCCACACCCTACACGTCCTCAGCACAGATCCGGGATGTTAATGCCCAAGTTAGCCAATCTGGGCAGGGATGAGTCACCGATTTGCAAAAGCTTAGGATGTGCGGTCTTCGCCAAGCCGGGCACATGCCCACTCAGGCAGGCCCCGGGGCATCACCATTTTCTGGGATCAGCACCCCGAGAGCCGCTGCAGCCCCTGCCGCCGCCAGGCCTGCTGGAAGAGCCCCAGCGCCCCACAGCCAGATGCAGCGGCCGCGCAGCCCAGTCCCGGGGCGCAGGAGCCGCCTCCAGAGTCCCTGGGCAGGCTCCCCACCTCCTGCGAAGGGGGACCGGCTTCCTAACCCCGAACTGGAACCCGGGCGCGCGGCGGAAGGGCGGGACGCCGTGGTCGAGCCTCCCAGTCTCTGCGGAGGGTGACCTGCGCCCCGGCGGGTGGTCCGCGGACACACCCAGGGCCCGCCGACACACCCAGGGCCCGCCCAGCAAAGTGCGTGAGTGTGTGCAAAGCGCCGCTAACTTTCCCGGAGTCGCACACCGCTCCCTCCAGGGCTCGCAGGCTACGGCCCCTGCCCAGGACGGCTCCCTCAGCTCCGCCCGCGGCCCGCCGCCTCTCCGCGCCCACCAGCGGCCCGCGGCCCGCGGCCCCCGGCCCCGACCCCCGACCCCCGCGCGGGCGCTCTCACCCCTGCCCCGTCGGGGCCGTCAGCAGGCTCCGTCCCCGTCCCCCGTCCCCAGGCGCCCCCGCCACTCACCCCACAGCCCAGCGCTCCCTAGTTAGCTTGCTGCGGGGGGGCAACTTCAAGCGAGGTGGTACGATCCCTGGCGGGGCGGTGGCTCCGCGCCTCAAATAGTCCCGGCCGGCCCGCCTCTCCCGGGGCGGGACCTCCACCCACACACACCCGGGCCTCTCCCTGCCGTGGGGCCCGGCACTGCCCCACCGCACACCCGGCGCCGCAGTGGCTACTGACCCGGAGAGACCCCCCCAGCCCCGCAGCCTCCAGTCGGTCTCCTGCGCCCGCCCCCCTCGAGACCTGGAATTGTGGCCACGTTCACCGCCCTGTCTCCAGATTCACCTGGTCACTCCTCAGACCAAGACAGAGTCTGCGAAGCTTTCAGAGTATGCTTACTTAACGCTTTGCTTGCTGGCTTGTTTTAACCATGTTTGCTTATTTGCTGCCTGAATTGCGGACACTCTCCTCCTCTCTGCATTTATTTTCCCTAAACCCTCTCTCAGTATCAAAGCCTTTCCTAGAAGTGCACGGTGACTCGTGTCACTGGGAGGGCGCTGGCAAGTTTTCTGAGGTGCTGGGTGAGACAGGTGGGAGGGAGGGAGGGCCGCGGGCGGAGGTCCCGGTTCTTGGCCCTGCATTCATTCACTTTCTGAACTGTGATGTGGGTGCCACCTCCTTCTGACGGCCCTAAATTACTTTTGCTTGTTTGCTCCCCACATCTTACCCAGTGTTTGGTGTGTAATAAGTTCTCCCTAAATATTTTTTTCATGAATTAATGAAATAATGAATACCTTCCTAGAAAGTCTTTGTTTCCCCAAAGGTTGGGCAGGGTCCTGATGAAGGAGGAACATTTTTTTTTTTTAATGTTTACTCATATTTGAGAGAGAGAGAGAGAGACAGAAGAAGAATTAGTGGGGGAGGGGCAGAGAGAGAGAGGGAGACAGAGAATCCCAAGCAGGCTCCAGGCTCTGAGCTGTCAGCACAGAGCCTGAGGTGGGGCTTGAGTCCATGAACCTTGACATCATGACCTGTGTCAAAGTCAGCTGCTTAACCGACTGTGCCACCCAGGCGCCCCTGAAGGAGGAACAGTTTAAACACAAAAGTCTTTGGTAGAGGCAGGAATAGGATAAAGCTACCACTCTAAGAAAACTTCTTACAACAAATAGTGATTCTTGCCAAGAGAAAATGTATTTATTTGGTATCATTTCACTGAATAATAGCTGAGTGAAATGGTTAAGGATGCCTAAGATGAAGTTTTTAAAGTTCTGATATCTACTCACAAAAATCAACTCAAAATGGATTAAAGACTTAATTGTAAGACCGCAAAACAAAATTCCTAGAAGGAAACAAGGGAAAAGCTCCTTGACGTTGGTTATGGCAATGTTTTTTTGGATAAGACTCCACAGTACAAGCAACAAAAGCAAAAATAAACAAGTGAGACTACATCAAACTAGCAAGCTGCATAGCAAAAGAAATAATCAGTAAATGAAAAAACACCCTACAAAATGAGAAAAAATATTTGTAAACTATGTATCTGATAAGAGGTTAGTCTTCAAAATATGTAAGGATCTCATAGAACTCTATAGCAAACAACAATAACAAAAACAAACAACAACAAAAAAAACCAAATAACCCTATTTAAAGAATGGGCAAAGGACCTGAACCAGACAGTTTTCCAAAGAAGACATCTGATCAACAGGTACCTGAAAAGGCACCCAGCATCACTAATTATCAGGGAAAAGCAGGTCCATACCACAATGGGGCATCACTTCACACCTGTTAGAATGACTATCATCAAAAGGACAAGAGATAAGTGTGGGCAAGGATGCAAACAAAGAAACGCTTTGTGTATTGTTGGTTGGAATGTAAATTGGTACAGCCATTATGGAAAACAATATGGAGGTTCCTCAAGAAATTAAAAATAGAATGACCATATGATTCAGCAATCCTACTTTCTGGGTAGGAAATGAAATCACTATCTTGAAGAGATATCTGCATTCCCAAGTTTATTGCAGCATTGTTCACGACAGTCAAGACATGGAAACAACCTAAGTGTCTGTTGATGGAAGAATGGATTAAAAAAATGTCACACACACACACACACACACACACACACACACACACACCCGGAAATATTCAGCTGTGAGAAAGAAGGAAATCCTGCCATTTCAACAACATGGATGGACCTTCAGGGTATTATGCTAAGTGAAGGAAGCCAAGCAGAGATAAACAAATACCATATGATCTTACTTATATATGGAATCTAAAAGAACTCATAGAAACTGAGTAGAATGATGGTTACCAGGGTCTAGGGGTGTGGGAGAAAATGGGGAGATGTTGGTCAAAGGGTAAAAACTTTTAGTTACAAGATGAATAAGTTCTGGGAATTTAATGTATGTCATGATGACTATTGTTAAAAATACTATATTACATATTTGATGGTTGCTAAGAGAGTATTCTTAAATGTTCTCACCACACACACAAAAAAATAGTAATGTGTGAGGTTATGAATATGTGAACTAATTTTACTGTGGTAATCATTTCACAACATATGTGTATATAAAAAATAATGTTAGTAGTAATAAGAGCTAATATTCATTAAGCACTTATAATGTGCTGTGTACTATGCTTAGTGCTTTACATATATATTTGGGGGCAGGAATTTTTGTCCCCATTTTATTTATTTATTTATTTATTTATTTATTCATTTATTTATTGTTTTTGTTTAGTTTTTCCCAAGGTTTTTTTTTTTATAACTTTGTTTAAATTAACGTTTATTTATTTTTGAGACAGAGAGACAGAGCATGAATGGGGGAGGGGCAGAGAGAGAGGGAGACACAGAATCGGAAGCAGGCTCCAGGCTCTGAGCCATCAGCCCAGAGCCTGACGCGGGGCTCGAACTCACGGACCGCGAGATCGTGACCTGAGCTGAAGTCAGACGCTTAACCGACTGAGCCACCCAGGCGCCCCCCAAGGTCTTAAAAATGTTCATTTTTTATTTTGGGAGAGAAAGAGTGAGTGGGGGAGGGGCAGAGAGAGAGAGGGAGAGAGAGAGAGAAAATCCCAAGCAGGCTCCGTGCTGTCAGTTGCAGAGCTGGATGTGTGGTTTGATCTCATAAACCGTGAGATCATGACCTGAGGTGAACGCTCAACTGACTGAGCCACGCAGGCACCCCTCCCAAGTTTTTTAAATCTCCCTGTGGTGATTAGGACAAATGCACTCCTTAATTCCCATCCCTTATTTCACCCATTCCCCCACCTACCTCCTCTCTGGTAACCATCAGTTTGTTCTCTATAGTTAAAGTCTGTTTCTTGGGTTATCTCTCTCTCTCTTTCCCTTTGCTCATTTGTTTTGTTTCTTAAATTCCACATGAGTGAAATCATATGATATTTGTTATATACCAGTTAGCATTATACTGTCTAGCTCCATCCATGTTGTTACAACATGGCAAGATTTTATGCCTTTTTATAGCTGAATAATATTCCACTGTGATATGTAAAACATCTTCTTTATACATTTATCAGTTGATGGACACTTAGGCTGTTTCCATATCTTGGCTAATATAAGTAATGCACCTGTAAACATCAGGGTATATGTATCCCTTTGAAGTGTTTTTGTATTTTTTTAATAAATACTCAGTAGTGTGATTGCTGGATCATAGGGTAGTTCTATTTTTAACTTTTTGAGGAAACTCCATATTGTTTTCCAGAGTGGCTGCACCGGTTTGCATTCCCACCAACAGTACAAAAGGGTTCCTTTTCCTCCACATCCTCGCCAACACCTGTTGTTTCTTGTGTTTTTTATTTTAGCCATTCTGACAGGTGTGAGGTGAGTGGCGTTCCATGGTGTAATGGTTAACACTCTGGACACTGACAGGTGTGAGGTGATATCACGTTATAATTTTGATTTGCATTTCCCTGATAATAAGTGATGATGAGCATCTTTTCATGTGTCTGTTAGCTGTCTGTATGTCTTCTTTGGAAAACTATTCTTACCTTCTGCCCATTTTTTAATTGGATTATTTGTTTTTTGGAGCATTGAGTTTTATAAATTCTTTATATATTTTATATACTAGCTCTTTATCAGATATGTCACATGCAGATATCTTCTCCCATTGTGTAGGTTGCCTTTTAGTTTTGTTGATTGTTTCCTTGGCTGTGCAGAAGCTTTTTATTTTGATGTTGTTCCAATAGTTTATTTTTGCTTTTGTTTCCATTGCCTCAGAAAACATATCCAGAAAGAAGTTGCTGTGGTCGATGTCAAAGAAGTTACTGCCGGTGTTCTCTTCCATAATTTTTATGGTTTGAGGTCTTACATTTATGTCTTAGTACATTTTGAGTTCATTTTGGTATATGGCTTAGGAAAGTGGTCCAGTTTCATTCTTTTGCATGTTGCTGTCCAGTTTTCTCAGAACCATTTGAAGAAGAGATATTCTTTTTTCCCATTGGATATTCTTTCCTGCTTTATCGAAGGTTAATTTACCACGTTATGGGTTCTTTTCTGGGCTTTCTATTCTGTTCCATTGATCTATGTGTCTATTTTTGTACTAGCACCATACTGTTTTCATTACTATGGTTTTGTAATACAACTTGAAGTCCAGAATTGTGATGCCTTCACCTTTGTTTTGCTTTTTCAAGGTTCCTTTGGCTTTCAGGGTTTTTTGTGGTCTATACAAATTTTCAGACTCTGTTCTAGCTCTGTGAAAAACCCTGTTGGTATTCTGATAGGGATTACATTAAATGTGTAGATTGCTTTGGGTAGTATAGATATTTTAACAATATTTGTTTTTCCAATCCATGAGCATGGAGTGTCTTTCCATTTCTTTGTGTCATCTTCAGTTTCTTTTATCAGTGTTTTATAGTTTTCAAAGTACAGGTCTTTCACCTCTTTGATTAGGTTTATTTCTAGATATCTTATTTTTGGTGTAATTGTAAATGGGATTATTTTCTTAATTTCTTTTCCTGCTGCTTCATTATTGGTATATAGAAATGCAACAGATTTCTGTACATTGATTTTGTATCCTGTGACTTTACTGAATTTGTCAGCTCTAGCAGTTTTTTGGTGGAGTCTTTCAGGTTTTCTATATATAGTGTCATGTCATCTGCAATAGTGGACGTTTCGCTTCTTCCTTACTGATTTGGATGCCTTTTATTTCTTTTTGTTGTCTGATTACTATAGCGACGACTTCCAGTACTATGTTGAATAAAAGTGTTAAGAGTGGACATCTTTGTCTTGTTCCTGACATTAGGGGAAAGGTTCTCAGTTTTCCCCCACTGAGGATGATGTTAGCTGTGGGCTTTTCATATATAGCCTTTATTATGTTGAGGTGTGTTCCCTTTAAACCTACTTTGTTGAGGGTGTCTAATCATGAATGGATGTTGTACT